TTTTTTTTTTTTTTTGTTTGGTTTGTGAAGATTTATTCCCTTTTAAGAAGATAAAATTTTTTGTCCAAGAATACTATTAATTTGATTTCACTTTTTCGTTAAAATTCCACTAACATAATCACAAAAATAATAATAAATTATTGTTATGTTTTTAATAAAAATATTATTTACCAAGTCATATGTTTCTATTATTTACCAAATACCAACATCTGTTTTGCTCTATTTTGTTTTGTTCTTGTTTTGCCTTCCCTTTTTCCATTTCCTTCTCAACCAAAACATCAAAGTACTGCCACAAAAAAAGATAGTCTCATTTCATCCACCATGCACATGATACTATCTGTTTTTCAGTTTTTCTTCAGTTGGAAACACACACATTATATGCAAACTACTATTTCCTTACTATCTACAGTTCTACACACAAAAAGGAAAACTTGATGATAACACACCATTTGAACCCTTCTCCTGACCCAACAAAATCTGCTGTTGCACCACCAAAACCCAACCATTGCTCTCGAAATCGACCGACGCTAGGTAGTCCCCGATAACCCCAAGCTCGTCGTTTTCACTCCAGCTCGACAGCCCTTTCACCACCACAGGATTCAACCCGTGCTTCCTCCCGACAATCCACACGTTATATGATTCTTTACTCTTCATACCCTGAATTGCTGCTATCGTATCCTCCCCGTTTTTCACCACCACCTCTCGATAACCGATCCTTCTGTTTGCCTCGCTCTTCACCCAAAACCACGTCACGAGCCCATCGTCGAGTCTCTTCTCAACTTCTTCATCTCCTTCTCTTCCCTCCGCAAGGAACCGAACCACGTCAAGTGAAACCTCTCGGTTCTCAGCCATCCGGTCCGCGTACTTCAGGGCTTCCCTGAAAAAAATCATCACCTTTCATAAAAAAAAGAAAAACTTTCAAGAAACCAATAAACTATCGACACCTGATTATTTTTCTTTGGAGTACCTGCAATCGGGCCCACCGAGGAACAAGACTGCCACATTTCGGGCCGGGCCCTTGTCGACGAGGCTCTGCTGCGGGCTCTTGTCCACGAGGATCGCGACCGAGCACGGCGCGTTCGCCAGGACGCTTGCGTTGACTGTCGTTGACCTGTCGTATGGTAAGACGACGAGGCAAGCCTTCTTGGAAAGTGCGAGCTCGCATATGTCTTGATACATGCTCTTCTTGGAAGTGATGGTCGTGTAAGAATGTATCCTCACGCTCCCTTCGCGGCTCGACTGGAAATTTCTTAAGGCATTGTGGATCGAACCCGAGTCGGGTTCCTTATTGTCCTTTTCATGGTCGATGAGCGTCGGGTTCGAGCGGCCGACGAGCTCGACTAGGTGCAGGGCATGGACCGATAAAGGACTGTTGACCGTCGGATTGGAGATTTCGAGTAGTTTCAAGAGTCCACCGAGGTTTTCTTGGGTATGGAGACAAGCCACAATGCGAAGTGCCGTGTTTGGTGGGTTGTGTTGAATGTTTCGTCTCTTGTTCACCATGTAAGGCCGGGTTGGGTCGTAGAGTATGCTGATCAACGGCGTAGCTAAAGCAGTTACCGATACTGCCGACAGAACCATTACCGTGAACTGCGGCTTCCCGATTACCTGCCGTAGATTATAATAACAGAAAAAACATAATACACAAAAATAATATATCTTGATGAGGCCATACAACAAATGAAAAAGCTTTTTACCTTATAATCCAGCAAATGAAGAAACAACAAAATCTCAACCTCACCCTTCAAGCTCATGATCAAGCTAAGTGTCAGGCTATCCCTCACACCCAAGTCGAA